AAAAAACCTAAAACACAAAGTGCAAAATGTTATGATCTAAGAAAAACATTATTATTAATCAAAAGTGAGATTAATTATTAATTATTATTATTATTATTATTTTAATTGTTTTAATTTGGAGGGCGAGAGAGTTTAAAGAGAGCGAGAGATGAGGGCGGGGGAGAAAGGGAGAGGTTGTTGCGAATCAGAGCGAAACAAGGATTCCTTCTCCCGCCACATCCTAATGCGAAGAAGCGGTAAACCCTTCTAACAACCGACACGTGTCCTTCTCCCCAACCCCACTCCTAAATTGGACAATTCACCGTGACTTTCTCTCTCTCTTCCCACAATATTTTCTCGCCCCCGGTTTTTTATTATTTCTAAACTTTTATTAAATTTTCTCGGCGTTTCTCCTTCTCTCTCTTCTCCCTGAACTCGATCGACAAGCGCTCGTCCTCTGTTCGGATCGAATTCCCACCTCAGGAAAAGAGCAGAATGTTCTGAAAACCCTAGAATTTCAATCGAATCGAGCAGAAAGTTGATATCTTTTTCTCCTTCTTTTCTTCCGCGAGGGTTCGGTACCAGGAGGCGGCTTCGCTTTGTCGATTGCGTTCGTCTGAGCAAAAATTAGGGTTGGTGGTAATAGTTTCGATTTGTTTCTGATTTTATTTCATTTGGGTATCCCTTGAGTTATCAGTTTCCCTTTTCAAGTCTATCGAAATTTTGTTTCTTTGATCCGTTCTGTGTTGGGTATCTGTTTTTGCCTTGTTTGGTATAAACCCTAGGTTAGTCGAATAAAAAATCCCCCCAAAAAGTTAAATTCTTTGATTCTTATCCCTGTAGATAAATTGGTTACGGCATCGTTTTTTCGGTTTCCATTTCAGCTGATTTTAGGTTATTTGCAAGAAATTCTGTGAAATTTTTGGGCGTCGTTTTAGTTTGCCATCAGAAATTGAGGGTTTCCTTGTTAGATCTTCCTTCCCCTTGTTGCATATTTTTCTTATTTTTTTCTCCCACTTCTTTGATAAAACGAAAAAAAAAAAAAAAAAAAGAGAGAAAAAGGGTTCAAGAAATCTAGGGTTTGTGTATAGACTTATGTAGAGAGAAATCTGGTTGGGGTATGGCCTTGAATTTTTCTCACCGACCAATCTTTCCGGGGCATCTGTCTGAGGACAATTTGGTTTCTCCAATGAGGATTGCCAATGGGTACCTCGTGGAGGGTATGCCAGAGAGGAATGGAGATGGTTTCGGTAGGCTTTGGCATTCAAATCGGGAAGTGGATGGTTGCTTTGATTATGGAAGAGATAGATGTGATATGGGTTGCTCACAGGATCCCGTTTCGAATGACATTCTTGATCTATTGCCTTCGGACCCTTTTGGCATGGATATAAGTACCACGTTTACGGCTATCACAGGCTGGCTTGAGGATTTGGAAGTGGACTACAGTGGTTACAGAAGGGATGAGGTGGGGACAAGTAACGGTAACTATGAACTTTTTGCGGGTTTGAATTTTATTTGGAATAATGCTATGAAGTTCCAGGCATTCTCAGGGAATATTGGGGTTGATCACAAGTCTAATGTAGCCAGTGGATTCGGTGGGTGTTCAAAAGAGAAGGGAGTTGATGATTCGTCCCTACACAGCGGTTTTGGATCAGCATGTCCAGTCGCTGACATTTTGAATTTTGGCAATGAAAGTTGTGGTTTTTCCAATCAGCAAAATGTAGAGGTCCAGCATGGTGATGGGATTTGTGCTGGCGGTGATGGAGGAGCTCCTCATGGGGCTTTGATGTTTGCCCTTAGTTATCTTGGGGTGCAGGATCTTCTTGTTGTAGAAGGTGTTTGCAGATCTCTCCATTCTACAGTTCGCGGTGACCCCCTTTTGTGGAGAAATATTCACATAGATCAACCACTGAACGAGAAGATTACCGATGATGTTCTTTTTCAATTAACTGATAGGGCTCAAGGAAATCTGCAGAGCTTGAGCCTGGTGGAGTGCCCAAGGATCACTGATGATGGTCTGAAGCGTGTGCTTGAAAGTAATCCCAAGCTAGCCAAGGTTAGTTTTTGGCTTCTGGATTTTACCTCAACTGTTTGCAGCGTTTTTTTCTTAGAATTCTTTTATTATTGTCTCTTTACAAGAAGTTTATCTCTGCACTACCATTCATGATTATTAATTGTTTACCTTAAATTTCCTAGACTTGTGCTCAAAGTTAACTCTAGGGAAGAAAAATTTGATTCATGTTCAATCTTAAATGTTCCATTTATTTGTGTAGTTGAGCGTGCCTGGATGTACTAGACTCAGTATTGAGGGCATTGTAAATAGCTTAAAGGCGTTCAATTCCAAGAGTGCACAAGGTGTGAAGCATTTACGAATTGGTGGACTCTATGGTGTGACACAGAAGCATTTTGAAGAGTTGAAGTTCTTGTTGGGAACTGATGGGCAGATGCAACCTAATCCACGCAAGCCACATTTTTATCAAAGAGGGAACTTTTATCTGGCCTCTGATGATGATAGTGACATTGATATTGAAATGTGCCCTCGATGCCAGAACCTGAGGCTTGTCTATGATTGCCCTGCCGAGGCTTGTCAAGGGAAACAACATCCAACTCAGGTGTGCAGGGCCTGCACACTTTGCATAGGGAGGTGTATTGAGTGTGGTCGGTGCATTAATGATAGTGAATATGAGGAAACGTTTTGTTTGGAGTTGCTTTGCTCAGATTGTTGGAAGCAGCTACTTAAGTCTCAAGAAACACAGGATGGAACCTATGGTCCATCCAAACCTTCTGTTCTCCATGAACGGAATGATACTCTTGGTCGACATGGCTAGGTTCTGTTGGTTCTGTAGATCTGCTGGTTTCATATTAATGGATGAGAAAATTACAAGTGGTTCCTAAGTTGTCCAATCAGTTAAAGATTATGGTTCCTTTATCTCATACCACTTGGTCAGCTGGCTTTGTTGGGTTTAGTCTATTGGTTGACTTCAGCTTTGGCAGTTTGTATCTCATCTGGGGCTCCGAGCCCACTGCTAGTACGTCGTGATGAACAGAAAAAAAAATGTTCAAAAATAAAAACAAAAGAGATGGAAATTTTAGGGGTGAAGGAGATTGTAAACAAAATTCTGCATCCACTTTCCAGGGCATGGAATTTTGTTCTGGTGATTCAGTTAGTTGGCTCTGGCATGAGTAATTGTTCTACGAGGAGTATGTTGATTTGCCTTTGAGTATTATGTATGAAGTCTCTTGGCATCTGACCAAGATGCGAGGTAGCCTACTAGAGCAGTCAACAGTAGGAACTACTACTTGTAGAGAGCAAAGTGGAAAGGTAACGTGTTTGTTGCACATCGGCCATTGTGCTCCGTGAATTCTATGCCTACACATGGAAGTGGTCTTCGGTTACCTGTGAAGAGTTTGAAGCGTGAAGTACGTTGGTTCTCGCAGTCATACAAGGGAGCTACATTGTTCATTCTTCCAGTTGTGCAGCAGTTTATGTTTGGAAGATTGCTGTTGCAGTAGCACGCCCATCTGTGACCTGCTATTTGGGACGAATCCCAGAGCAGGACGGGATCTTCTACCTGGCTTTATATATTGCACCGATTTTATCTGGTGTCATCTATAATGCCATTCCACAGATTCGTTCTTGTTCAGTCAAGAATGAAGCTACGATTGTGTCCTCCCGCAGGAAACAATGTTGTTCATAAAAGACGGGACTTGTACGTTTTTAATAAGAGACAGGCATGTACATTGTTCAAAAAAGGCCATGCTGGTGCGTTCTTGCTTTGGACGACATCTTTCGTCTGTCTCAGTTATGATCCATGGCAGCTTCACTGTATGCTCTTTGAGCAAAGAATTGCCAAATGCTGCTTCTCTGGTGTCAACCAGAGTTATCTTTCGTGTGTGCCTTGAGCACCAAGTTATCTGCTTCTTTTCGGTCGAAACGAATGTTGTAAAATGTACTTTCAATAAGTTATGGTTTTATGCAAAAGCGGGCAAAGCTATTGCTAGCTATGTATACTCTTTTTTTCCACTATCCTTGGATGTATTATTCTTTTATTATCGAGATTTTCCCACTTGTTCTTTCATCTTTATATTTTTATCCATTGGCATATTTAAGTCTTTGATCTTTTAGGCCACAATCCTTTCAAATGTATATCTTTTAAGTATGTTTTGTAACAATGTTGTCCCAAAGTTGGGAGCAGAAGCTGAGTGCTATAGTCAACTTGGCTATGGGGTTTACGAGGAGGAGAACTTATCATTTTTCGATGCGATCACATTTACTTCTGATTTTACATTTTAAAAAACAATGTAAATATGATATACTTGATGAGACATTTATAAATTTGAGATATAATATACTTTTCTTTAATTATTGGGGTCCACTTCTAAAAGATATATATTTACATTGTTGGTCAGGATGATTATTTTACATTTCATCTATTGGAGAGATTTTTCGTCCAACGAGAAATGTAAAGTACTCAAACATGACATTTTACATCTCCTATTAGAGATGCTCTAGGTCAATGAAAAATATTATTCATGTTTTTAGTAGCTCTTTAATACATAAAATAATGTTGAAAATAAAAATAAAAATAAAATTTTTCCTTATAAAAATACGTGATTAACTTAAAATATCGTTATAACGTCGCCATCACATGGTAAGGATGTTTCTGTCAGCATCCGTGCGTGGTCCAACTCAAAAACATAACATTGATTATTCGCTCACATGTCTTGCGTGGGGCTAACTCAAATATTTGGTATACAACAGGCCGTCACTCAAAAACGAAGAAAAAGGAGCCATTTTTGCAGCTCATTTTACTTCTTGTTGGCGACAGAGACAGATCCATGTGTCGTTCATTCATTATGCTATGGGCAAATGATATGACAAATAATTCATGCAACGGGATGTGATATCTGCGTGATTGACTAATATATCTCCACAGTAACATTCTGATTACATGCTAGTTTATCGTATTTCATGACATACAATTTTAATTCAAGCAATACCAATGAAGTAAAATTGATCGTAAATTAACTGAAAATTTCATTAATTAAACCATTTATTCAACAGAAAATATGAAGACAAATGGGATTAAACTGGTTAGTGACAATATATATATATATACTAGAAGAAGCCATATTGTTCAACGCGTTGTTTCATTGCCCATCTTCTTTCTGAGTTTTCTTCCGGATCTTCTCCACCCACTTGAAACTCAAAACTGCCTTCCCGAAGCTCCTCTTCGATCCATCTTTGCCCTTCTTCTTGTCCTTGTCGGATGATCCCGATGGCGGCGGATCGGGGTTGTTGTCCCATTGATCAGCCCAGGACAGACCAGAATCCATTGTCCTTTTTTTTTTCTTTCTTTTCTTTCTCTCGTGTTCTTCTTTTTCGAGGTTAAAAACTTCTTTTTGCAACAAAGCAACAGAGCTTTGGAATTTGTTGCAAAGGGGTTAGTTTTTTTTATTTTAATCCAATACTGATTTTTCCTTAATTTGATCGAAAGGAAAATTGTTTGGCAGAAGTTAGTTATGTTTGATGAACAAGTTTAGAAATTTGTCCAACGGTCTTTTGCTTATTATGTAACTTGATTTTTGCCTGAACCAACTCGATTATCCTTAATTTGGTCATGTCCGTTATTGGACTAAAGTAGTTAGTAATAGACTCGTTTTCTTTTGTCGGAATTCACATGATGCAAAAGATTATAACGAACGTAAATAACTGGTTACACACAAGATTTCGCCATGTCTATCAACTGCGGTTGACCGAGCAGTAGGCAACTAGCAGTCAAGTCAAACTCTAAAACCTACATCCATGCCCAGCCCTGTAAATTATAACCAACCATGTCATACAGACAATGCCTGTTTTAGAGAGTGGTAAGTTTATCATCTTAGATGCACATCGTCTCCCTACATTTCGGCCGAAATGTCCCCTTTTCTCAAGTACCAAACACCGAAATTTGAGGGGAAAAGCCATTTTTACTCCCAGGCCGGCGGTATTTCCATGATATCGCTGAGATTACACGATGGTTCGCACATATGTCGATGTTCCCGACAGACATAGGAACATTCGGGAACCGTTGGATTACAGCTTCAAGCCAGGGAGGGAGGGAAAACAAAACAAGGATCAATTTCCCTCATCCTTTTACTGAACCTATCGTCTACAAAAATTCGACATGACCTGCAATTTCTCTACACAACAGCTTAGACTCACTGGCAAGCTTCAAGCTTTTGACAATGGCAAGGCCTGTTTGCTTGTGTGTAGAAGTCGGAATGTATTGCTTGGCATCTTCTTCTTTCCCCATCAATAGAACCTCCCTAGCCGGAACCACATTTTCCCACCAGAATTCCCTTAAAATTCCATGCATCAAGTTCCAGTAACTCCGGTCCCTGCACACGCGGAATATTGTGCTTCCGTTCGGTGTCCAGCAGTACAGATCAACCCACTCTCTGTCCAGTACCTCCATTTGGCCTTGCACCTGAGGCATGTAATAGAAAGGCATGGTTGACCAGGGCAGAGCCTTCTCTGGCTTCCCCTTGTTGTATGGACACTTCACTTCCAGTATCCCACCGCCTTGATAGCAATCAATAAGACCCTCGAGAAGACCGTCTGGGGAGGCACCAATCCAACCATATCGCTCCTCTGCATGGGTAGCAAATCCGTATGAACTCACTTCACGACCTGTGATGCTTTTGTACTTTTCAATGGCCACTTCTTCGTTGAGCACGCCCCACTCCATGGCTCTCTTAGAAGCTTCCACAATTTGTTTCTCTGATTCAAATACCTTCTCTTGCCAGAGCTCTGGCCGGCGGGTCCCTTTCCAAAATCCCAAGGCAGTGCTGAAGGTGCTTGTGGTCAGCTTGTCCTTGCGTAGGGCAAACCATTCCTCTGATCGTTGGGGAGCATCAGACGGAGAAAGCCGGGTGGCTAGCACCAGTGATGATGGGGGACGATGAATGACAAGAGGGACAACCGGAGAGATCAGTGTTTTGGTGCATGTGGAATAAGGCCTCAAAATATCTTTCCTAAACCCTACCTTCCTTGAGGATAGCAATTCTACTGCTTTATGGTGAGACCTGCAGAATCCGGTGCAGTAGGCATTGCTCATTGTCGTTGCTAATCTGACAATGCCACCCATAGCTACTTGGTTTCGATGAAGGGTCCTGCAAAAGCCACACACTGCTTGGAAGTTTATGCTTAGTTGAAGAAACTTCCTTAAACGATATTGGTTACACAATTTTAGACACAATATTCATCAGAAACAATGCCAAATACGTTCTAGACACATCTAACACTACACAATACGCAATAATTGTCTTCTTAACAAAATATCCAAGTGAAGAAGCACATTCTATTGTTCCTCCTTTAGGTCAAGTATCAATTTTTCAACCGAAGAAGGAACTGATTTTCCGGAATGCGATCCTTTCCCTACAAAATGTATCATTCGATTCACAGTATTCGCGAAGCGATTAAAAAAAACAAGAAAACCAGATGATGGAGTTTACTTCAAATACAAGCAATGCTAATGAGGAAAAAGAAAGAAAATCCAAAAGCTCAACTTCCTCCCCCAATCTCCCAATTCGATTCAGAGTCAAAATCCGCATGATTGGCAGTCCTTAATTCGAACATGAGGGGGCTACAAACATATTGCACTAAAGGTGTTTGATTTAATACCTGAGAGACGGCTCGAACTAAAGGCTCCGACTTTGGGAGCTGCGGAGGAAGCAGAGCGTGGCTTGGGAGTCCGAGAGGTCACTCCGCCACGGAGAAAATACAGAGAAGCTCTGGACTGAGCGGAAGAGACTTGAATGAGCTTCATCTGTCACTATGTTCCAGCCACCACCATTTCTAGGGTTTTGTTTTTCCTACTGCAAAATTTGATAGAGAGAAAAAGAAGAAGATTTTAGGGCGGGTAGCAGCTGATAACATTTTCCAAAAGTCCAACACGCCACGTACTTATACCAGTCTATAAAGTAAAAACGCCGTTGTTTTGACTGAAACGGCTTCGAAACGTAGCGTTTAAAGTTGGGAACTTCGGTATAAAGCTCATCAACCAGAGAGAGAAAGAGAGGAGAGAGAGAGCGCTGAACTCTCTCTTCTTTCTTCGCTAATCAAAAGACAAAAGCTTTAAATTCAAGCACTTTCTTCCTCTCACTCTACTTTCTCTCTGTGTCTGAGCTGAGAAAACCCAAAACCCACCGACTGAAAAAAAAAAAAAATACGGAAACAAAAATGGGTTAGTTCTGCTGCTGATCAAGTACTTCACTTTCTTCTTCCTTTACCACACCCGCCACCATGTATTTGTCGGAAAATGCTCGACCAATCGATTTCTACAAGGAGGAAGCCGGCCGGGACATGATGATGGAGGTGGTGGTCTCGAACGAGGACCTTCCCCAATCTCAATCCCAATCCCAAGCTCATCTTCACCAGCCGCCCCCGCAACAGATGCTTATGGGTGACAGCAGCGGTGAGGACCACGGAGTGAGGGCTCCGAAGAAGCGAGCCGAGACTTGGGTGCAGGACGAGACCCGAAGCTTAATAGCCCTGCGTCGCGGGATTGACGGCTTGTTCAACACCTCCAAGTCGAACAAGCACTTGTGGGAGCAGATTTCTGCTAAGATGAGACAGAAAGGGTTCGATCGGTCGCCGACGATGTGCACGGACAAGTGGAGGAACTTGCTGAAAGAGTTCAAGAAGGCTAAGCACCATGATAGGGGAAGTGGGTCAGCTAAGATGTCGTATTACAAGGAGATTGAGGAGATTTTGAAGGAGAGAAGCAAGAATACGCAGTACAAAAGCCCCACTCCCCCAAAGGTCGATTCTTTCGTGCCATTTTCAGATAAAGGTATCGGGTTATTCTTCCTTTTTCTGAATTTTTAGATTGCTGGTTGAATATTTGTGATTGAATTCGAAGTGGCTTTGTTAAACTTGAGCTGAAAAGTGTTTTGAAGAAAATTGCCTTCCCTTTTGATGTATTTGTTAGTCTTTTCCATTTTTGTAGTTGTTTTTGTTTATCTGAGTTTGGTACATTATTAATCTGTTAAATATAAATTTAGAGGAGTTTGATTTAGCGTTTCCAATTTAGAAATGTTCCTGTATATGGAAATGGCTATAATTAGTAATGTGGAGTATAAAAGGTTTGAAACAATTGACCGTTGAATACTGACCTTAATAGAGTCATCCTCTTCACACTGCTGATACCCCAAGTATTATCCTTTGAGTAATTCCAGCATTAATGGCTATTTAAGACATATTTATGGTAGCTCTGCATGAACATCTGGGTGTGATGGCTATAGATATAAGATATGAAAACCTTGATGAGTAATTTGATGTTATCGGGAGAGCGGACTGTGTGAGTTTAATTCTGAGTATCTTGCACAGCACTTGCTTTCATATCTGGTATACGGGTTGGGGTAGGCTTGAGTCATGATGCTCAATATGCAGTCTGGATGTATTTCCAGTTTTGACGACGAGATTGCACATCTAATAAACCAGTGGAGAGGGATTAACAGATTAGTGTAACCTAGTCAAAAGTCAATTTGTTCTTGGTTGATCCCTTGATATTAAAAGATGAACAAGGCACGTGCAAGCTATGCAGAAACGGGGGGATGCTCATGCCTTACCTTAAGTTTCTCATCAAGTGGAAGGGAAGGCTTAAAGACATCGGTATGCGGGTTCATCTCTTTCTCTAAAGGTTTTTCAAGTGCAATCCTACAAGTAAAGTTTCAGCAAGAAAAAATTTTTTAGCCCCAACTTTAACGAGCATTTTCGGGGACTAGCCTGCTTCCAGAGGGAAATTGGCCTATATTGGGGCAACGCATTGAAGTTGTCCTTTTGCTTATCATTGTCTATTATAGAGATGTCGTATGCTGGGTTTCAAAGCATGTTGAACGTGCATGAAAGTTGTGTGGTATTTAGTAAAATATTGAAGACGCTGCTTCATACAAAACAAATCTTAAATACAAGGAATGTTTTTAACTTTTCATGTGTTTTTCTGTGTCTTAGTTGTTTTTTTCCGCTATCATGGTACCCTGGCGTCTGTCCTGATACATTATAGGCCGTATAAAACACCATTTCCTGGGACGATATCCACTGACATCAGCTTCATATATTACATTTTCTGTTGTGCGTTCTAAATACTTTATCATGTAACGACACGTTTCCTGGAGTTGCGAAAAACTGTTATGTATAACTTTTGTAACAGACAATGGGGGGACTTATCCTTTGATTTGCGCTGTTTTAACATTCCTTATCAGGAACGTAACCGGCCTTGCAATTCGGGGCGGACTGCAGCTCAGGTGATCCTTGCCCATGTTCCGTCCATGTTCCCTATGTATCAAGTGCTGCATGGGGATTGAACAACTCATTCCTTTTCTTCTCCTTCTTTTGGGTAGTGCTTTGTGTTCTTTAGTCTTTTGGGGTTTGGAATTCTGCTATCGCATTTCCTAGTTTGCCTTCGAGTTAGGGGTTAAATGGTATAATTCGTTCATACAGGCGAAAATTTCAACATAAACGACTTCATTTTGCCCCAACTTTTTTTCTCTCTATGTTGCGTTGATGGATTAGAAATTTCTCTATGTTGTGTTGATAGATTAGAAATTTCTTTGACGGATTTTCTGCTCATGCAGGTATTGAAGATGCAAGCATTTCGTTTGCACCTGTTGAAGGTACATTAATTTAACCTGAGTTTTAGTGTTCTGGTGTATGTTTATGTTATTTCATCACCTAATTATTAGCTTGCCTGATAACTCTTGACCACTCTTAGAAATTATGATAACTTATTATCTTTAGGGGAATGATCAGTTCTTTAAGGTTATTCCGGTACAACCATCTCAAATAGTTCATCTCATGGCTCATGTTGGATATTATTAGCATGATAGATGGCATTCAAGATTCAATGACCAATGACTTTTTTCCTCCCTTTTTTATCGTCAATGCTGAGTTCTGTCTTTTCTTTTCCTTTTGGCCGGAAATGATGAGTTCTTCATGTGAGCGTATGAACTTTTCTGCATGTTTCTTTTCCTGTATTCTACTTCTATGTATCATGTTTTTCTAAGTCATTTTTTCTTTTCAAAGAGATATATGTCCTCTCTTTTTATGTTCCTTGGTGCGCAGCTAGTGGCAGGCCGGCACTCAATCTTGAAAGACGTTTGGATCATGATGGTCATCCTCTTGCCATCACTGCAGCTGATGCAGTTACAGCAGGTGGAGTTCCACCGTGGAATTGGAGAGAAACCCCGGGAAATGGTAAGTTAAATTGAAGTTGGGAAATTGCTCAACAAGCGTCTTGTTATGTTTATGCTCCAAATGTATACGGATGAGTAGCACGCAAAATGTCTTGTTACTATGTTGTCAATAGTTCGTTTATTTCAAATTCTTTTCCATTTTTTGACAGGTGGGGAGGGTCAAGCATATGGTGGTAGAGTCATATTAGTCAACTGGGGTGACTATACTAGAAGGATTGGTATCGATGGCACCGCAGATGCCATTAAGGATGCAATTAAGTCTGCTTTTAGGTTGAGAACAAAACGCTCATTCTGGTTGGAGGATGAAGACCAGATAGTCCGAAGTCTTGACAGGGACATGCCTTTGGGGAATTACACTCTTCATCTTGATGAAGGTATAGGTGTATCGATCATATTGATCTTAGTAGTTCCTTAGGATAGTGGTTGAGAAGTAGCAGCTCTTATTCACAGAGATCTATCTAATAATGTTTTGCTCCCCTTTTCGTATTGAAAACTTGATGCTGAAGTCCAAATTTCAGGGGTGGCCATCAAAGTATGCCTCTATGACGAGTCGGACCACATACCAGTACACACAGAGGAGAAGCTTTTCTACACAGAAGAAGATTATCGCGAGTTTCTGTCCCCCGGGGGTGGTCGTGTCTAAGGGAGTTTGACGGGTACAGAAATATTGAAAATATGGACGACCTTCGCCCGGGTGCAATATACCGCGGTGTAAGTTGAGGGAACCGCGTTCCCTTATCATGTTCCCTTCTCAATGTAATTGTGGATGGTTATGGACCCTTTTTTGTTCAGTGTTGCAGGTTGTGTAGCATGGCAGAAGAAAGACGATATTATATTTGCACAGTTGGCCTGCACTTTGCTGTTTGTAAATACAAGTTTAGTTTCTACTCTTCTACACTTCATTGCCTCCTTTCCTATCCATTTCATTTTTTTCTTATGGTTCTTCCGCCTCTCATTTTTTGACAAATTAAATGACCTGCTAACCATTTCGCTTTCAGTTAATTCAATTTTTCGTTATCAAATGGCCCATAAACATTTAATTTTCTTACTTCAATCTTTTGACTCCCATGAGCAAACTTTTCGGTAGGACCGTCACACCTGCTCATATATATATTGTGGTTGTTCAAACCTGCTCATATATATAATGTGTGCGCATCAAACTTCTTGTCGAGAAGGTTTCCCATCATGTATCTCTTGTTGGTCAGAAAGCTTTCTCATGAGCAATTTTAAAAGGATATAAAGTATGGAGTATCCATCTTGACCGAAAGATATAAATATTTATATAAATTTACTTTTAATACGGAAAAAATAAAAAGCAATAGCTCCACCTGTTAAAGAGGAAGTGAGCCCAAAATTTAGTTTATCCAGCCCAAGCCCAAGCTTAGGCCAGCCCATTTTATTGGGCCCAATATATGCTGAAGGCACAAACAATATTTCGTTATCTTAACCGCACACCAAGGATTGCTTTCATGCGATTTAAGTGATGTCTTTCTGCTGCATTTCGAAGAGCATGGGCACAACAGAATCTATTTGACATATGGAAACTAATACATCCGATGACTTGTCTGGTACGAAATGAATACATCCAACTCCCATGTCGAAAACACCAAGACGAAAATACATCTTACGGATAAGATAGTTCAGCACACAATTTTTCATCCTCGTCCGAACCATTCTAATAAATTGTGAATAAAAGATTCACAATACCAGA